AGAGAGAGAGAGAGAGAGAGAGAGAGAGAGAGAAGAAAAAAATTCGCGCGTCGTTCAATTTCGAATCTAAGATTGCGTTCCTGGTTGTGGATTTTCCGGACATCCGATAGATAATAAAGGGAGAAAGAAAGGGAAATAGTCAAATTTGCAAACGCATTTTACTCGCAATACAGGAGACACGAGTCTTTCGTTCAAGTCCACCATGTTCGTTTCTTTATTTCCGTTTGTTCCTCATCGAAACATTTGTACCACAGTCTTCCAAGGTACAAAGGAAAGAGTAAAGTAATACCGTTTGTTCGTCATGGCGTGTAAATCAAAAGGGAGAACAGGCGAGAAAGAAAAGGGGAAAGAGAGAGAGAGAGAGAAAGAGAGAGAGAAGAAAGATATGAACAGAACAGAGAGGAAAAATAAGATAAAAGAAAATAAGAAAGGAAGAAAGAAAGAAGGACTAACAAGAGAAATTGTGTATAACTATGCGAACTCTCTGATGATCTCAGCGTTTTATTTTTGTATAGAGTGCATAAGAAACATGTAATCTTCAGGAACGTAAGGGCAAGGAAAAAAGGTACGGTTTGAGAAACAAAAAGCAAGACTTATGTAGTAGATGAGAAAAGGAGACGTATAAAAGGGAGATGTAGGTATAATGAAAAATACAGACAGACGAATTTAGGTTGCGAGGATAGAAGTTTAAAGTTTGTGAACATTTTTTCGGACATTTCCCAGTGCTGCTTTATGTAATACCCTATATATATAATATATATCTATATATATATATATAAAAATTGTATGAAAAATCATCTCAGAAAATATGCTGACTTTTTTTTTTTCATTATTCACAATTCCTTCTTTCTCCAAATATCCTTGATTCAACACTAACCGAGTGTAGCATTGAATTGAATTTAATTTAAGATAATTTGTAATTTTATATAATAATGGTTTATTAGTTTAACTGTAGTTGCTACAACCGTTAACAAAACGTTGATCATTTTTTTAACCATATTTCACATACGTGTACAATTATGTACACCTTGGAAGCATTACATAATAAAACCGATATATGGTCGGTTCTTCTTAATAAATATAAATAATGTACAGGGGCAATTTAACATAACAACATTTTACGTGTAAATACGCGTATAATAGATATTAGTATGGTACAACGTGTAACAGATATTATACGCGTATCTATACATAACGCATAGAGCACTCACATGCAGTAACACTCATACATACACTGACATTCGCGCAATATAAACTGTAAATATTAAATTATCATTTAACATAATTTTACTCTTACATCCATCGCTATTTTTCAACTTTAAACATTTAGGAACATTGCAGTAGTCATTGTTAAGCAATCGCTTTATTCTAACTAAATCGTGAAAATTTCATTTAACATTATTTGTTTATAATTTCTAATATGAAAGCTAAAAAAAAAAATAATAGAGAAAAGACCGTAAATTAACACCGATATTACATAATTACAGAATAGAATTACGTCTCACTCAAGCAAAACCGTATTTTATCAGCTTTTGCTTTTTTTTCTTCAGAAGGCGTAGTTTTGTGCAATGTTCCTCTCCAGCTAGAACTAAAAAATGTATCTCATTGGTTATAAACTATTCTTAACGTTAATTTTATGTCGCTTTTTCATAATTACGTGCAAAGATAGATGTTATTATGCTGTTTCTTTTTTTAGGCACATGATCCAAGATGATTGATACTGTTATTTTAGCAGAAAACAAAATCATGTATCCTCATTCCTCTTTTACACATCATACATAACAAATACGCATCTTCTTTTTTACCTTTGAACATCTTGAGCATAACAAGAATTGTTTGTGCACTGTATTATAAAGTATTTGCATCATTTTCTGCTTAAAGGTGAAAATATTTAGTAGCTGATCTTCCAAAAGCTGCTTTAATTTAGAATACAGTAGCATATATCTAATCAATATACTAATAGCTTTTATTAAATTTGAAACTAAAAATTCAATTTCTTGCAGAAGAATATCAGGTCATTCTGTAAATAATATCAATTTTTTTTATAGAACAACATAGTACAGCAGTAAAATTTATGAACAGGTAAATAGGTAAATCAACTACTTGATTTATACAGGATCGGATAAAAACTTTGCCCACTTGGAAGATTTTCGTTACTTGTAACAATATAGAAAAATGTATACAAAATTTGTATGATATGGAGGTGGACATAATGTGATATAAATACTTTTTACGTGGATAGAGGCGTAAAGGAGATTTCCAGGTTATCTTTATTTTTTTGAAATGGAATGCTATACTTTTTTTTATCGCTGTGCGTGATAGTCGCTGTTGTGGCAATTTCAGCACGCTATCGTTAAAGGTCATTCAAGGTCACCGAAGATCGTAAAATAATCATTATTACTTTCAAATTGTAGAACCGCGGATACGTCTTATTATCGCTGAATTTATTCTAGCAAATGTTGTAATACATTGCCTCTTATTTTTATTTCAACAGATAAGTCTTGCCGCAATGTTTACGTTCTAATAATACATTACGTACATCTACGAACGTCAACATTGTTGTGGCAATATAAGACATTGCGTGGAATATCCGTAATCAACATTAAATTTTTCAAATGGACAAAGTTTTTCTTTCAATTAAACTGTGAAGTTTTTTTGGGGAATTATTTCAAAACTTCGCCAATCTATACTGTATGAATTTAAAAAAAGACATTGCGATTATAATCGTCTGTAGCATATACAAAGTCTGAAAAGAATTTTTAGTTAGTGCAAGATAGTTTTAAAAATTGTAAAATGAAAATTGTAGTTTTGATCTGATAAACTTGTAGAATTTGATAAGAACATACTGATGTTAGAGTTGAACAAAATCTACTTGTTACAATGAAACAAACTGGAATTTTAAATATTTACTCCAATTGTTCCACTGTTCATCTACATTAAAAAAAAATCTTGGAAAGCTATATAAATTAGAGATACGGATCTTTATGAAATATAGTAATTTTTACGAGCATAAGAAGTTAGAAAATGATGGAAAACACATAGAAAAATTATAGTTTTTAAGTACATGTTTATATTCCATGTTTTGAAAGTATTTAAAAAATTCATATTATTTACAGAATGACCTTATATTTTTCCTTGTTGTTTCCATATATCTGGAACGTTATTCTCAATGTAAAATCTAGAGAAAAAAATTTAACAATACCAGGCTTATACCCAGTTGTAATTTATATAAAAAATTGAATAATGTGCATATTAGAGGCATATTAAAAAGGCAAATATAAAATTTACAGAATTACAGTAATGCCCGGTTAGTGGACGCAGGTTTTGCCCACTTAGAAGAACAGATCTCGAGGTGTTACACCAACTTTTTAATAAGCTTTTGCACAATGATAGAGCTTCCAATTCTGAAACCAGTGGTATCCGGGGGTTTAGAGGCAGACGGCCAATAGTTTACGAGATATTTAACGTTAAATTTGCGATCTACATTAATCTTCTCAAAGTTGACTATCTTTATCAAGAGCGAGCGTGATGGAGTCGGTTTAAAAAAAAAATGAATATTTAAATATTCAAAGGATGGTCACAAATAGTAAACATATATATATATGTTTAAAAAAGCTGTAAAAAGAGGAAAAGAAAATATTGAAAAATTCTTCCACTGCGATTCGAACCTGTGGCAAAGAAGGTACAGTATCAGCACTCACTCTTGGTAAATACTATCGGCCGTCTGCCCTCTAAAACCGGATACCACTAACTTCAGAATTGCAAGTCCTTGTGATAGCCAATATTATCTTAAGCCTGAGTCACCCCTTGTTTTTCACTACTTTGCCGCGCGCATTGCCCACTAGAACAAACTAGCCGAAACCATTGCACCCTCAGTCACCAACCCCTCCAGCTTTAGACCGTAAGTTATATTGTATAGGAAACCAATTTACCATTTTAAGTCAGTCTCTGTACAACGGGCGAATCTCGATCTTGTATTAAAATATTATATCTTTCAAATTGTGTCTTTAGCGTATAAAAATCGCTCACCTAAACGGTATACTTGTGCGACGGAATAAAACTTGCATCGGTGAGCCTCTAAAGAGTGTTGAATCCACGGATTCAATAAGATTGAAGTGTTCACGCTCAGTCTATCACACTCTATCATTGTGCAAAAGCTCATTAAAAAGCCGGTGTAACACTTCGGGACCTCTCCTTGTTAGCAGAGTCATCCCCACCAGTTCACTGGGAGTTTCGAACTCGTCAAGGGTACGCGTTATCAACATCCCCCATCGGTGATGACACAAGTACTAATGACTCACCGAAATAAGAAACATCAAAGTTTTGTTTTTCACTCTGTAATTATGAAATTGCTGTAATCGAATTACTGAGATCCGTGTGATGAAAATGATACCAAACACGATTATATTTAAACAATTTTCAGTTAGACGTGCAATATTAACTAATGAAAGACTAAAATGGGAATATAAAACAGATGTTATAATACATATGTACTTAAATATCTATGTATAATAATAAAAACAATAATAAAAAAACACTATAGAAGCATGAAATAATATAAGTAACTTTCCTAACTTTGCAAATAAGCACAATTTCTTATTCCATGGTATCGTAAAATAGCCGTTCGAAGTAACATTTCATTCTATTTTACTTGCCCTCAATATATCTCGTTCTCGTCCCCAACGAACCCAGATGCAAGCGAGCCAGAGAAAGATAAGACCGGGCAATTGCTGGAACACCTACCTCCCCCGACAGTAGACGCAATTATGTCCAAAGTCTGCGTCCGCTAACCGGGCATTACCGTATTTTAGAGCCCGTTTTCTTGCTATGTGAAAGTAGTATTTCCAGACTAATATATATAATTGCAAAATTCAGAACCATCAACAACTACTCTGTTATATCATGAAAGTGTCTCTGATAAAGCTCGCTGTATCAATCTCTTAAATTTAAATTGCCTAAATTACAAAACAACTTTGTTTTAAGATTAAGGTAAAAATGTATTAAGTTCTCAAAATAGAAAATGGAGGTGGCCCAGCCTGCCTCATCATCATTGCAAAACTACTTAATCCTTCCTCTCCATTATTTTGACTATTTTGATTATTCTGTGAACTATTTAGATTTTTGCTTCTGCTACTATTATGACTCTGCAAGTGCTTCTTTAGGTGATCCTTTCTATAAAAAGCTTTGCCACACTCTGTACAAACTTGATTTTTGCTACCTGAATGAATAATCATATGACGTGCAAGATGTTCATTGCGTTTAAATGCTTTGCAGCACATGTTACACTGATAAGGCCTATCCTTATTGTGTCCTTGTTTGTGGCGATCTAGATGTTCCTTGCGCTTTAAACTTGCACCACAAATATCACAAGTGTAGGGCCGTTGCCTGTGATCTTCAAGATGCTCATATAATGCCTCTCGATCTTCAAATCTATATGCACATTCTGGGCAATGATAGATTAACATACCTTAAACATTTAGAACAATTACTTTAAGACAGAAGAAAATATGAAATAAAATATATATAATTTGCATTAGACTTCTTCACAAGTACTTACCATTGATATGTTGTGGCTCCACTTCAAATTCAATTTTTGATTTAACTTCTTGACAAGTATGTGTTGAGTTATTGCTATTTTCCTCATACTTAGTTACATATGGTAAGCCTAATGTACTAGAACATCGTGCTAAGTACTCAGAAGTAAGTCTAAAGTCTATTTGTAATGGATCAGTCATTGTTGCTGCATCTACTTTTTGAATAGTCTGTGTGCCAGAAGACTGATGGGATATTTGTGGACATGTCTCTTTATTTCCACAATTATTCTCATTTCTATTTTCATCTGTTTGTTGAACATGTTGTGCTGGATGTCCAGAATATGGATATCCACTTATATTAGACTGGTTATGTTGATGGTTGTGCATTTCTGATGGATACTTTATATTACGTGGATCATAAGCCATTTTTTAGTATATAACAAACTAAATTTTCTTATCATTTATCTATAAATACAAAAGTATTATAATAAAAAACCCAATAAAATTTAGGAATGTACAAATAACATTCAATTTAAAAGATGCCAAAAAAATAATTAGAAAAAAATTTTTCTTCAAAATATTGCATTAATAATTTAAAAAGACTAACTTCGACTTTTTATATTTAAAAAATAGATTAGAATATTTCATATTTTCCAGTTTATCAAATAAATCTTGATAAAATCGTGAAGAACACGTCAATTTGTGTATAAGAATCAGTTTCTAAAAATTTGCATGAAAAGGCAATGCTTTGTCGTAAATTCAACGTAAATGAGAAATTTTATTGAGCAGGTCAGGACAGGTGTCAGTTTACTATTCAATATTTCGCAAAATTCTGAATATTTTCAAAAGATATCCCAATAATGGAAAAATAAAACTATTTGTCTATGTTATTTACGCGAATGAAAATTACTCACCCCTTAGATACAAAGTTAGTTGTAAAATCAGCACATCACTGATCACTATTTGTTTGTATTGAGCTTGGCCATCTTTACACATCAGCTGCTACACAAATTCCAAGTCCTTCTTCTAACCTACTGTTTATTTTATAAAAATATATATTTTGAGATATAAACATAATTAATTAATTTAAAAAACATAATAAAACGGACTTAAATATTCCATAGACCTTTAAATCGCAGTTAATGAACTTTTGTGATACGGTTTCGTTTTGAAATGCGTAACGATACGATGATCACAATAGAAAACGTATACCGCATTTAAAAGAGGCGGCTATTTAAGGCATTCAGACAAAAAGAACACTATTCTTTATCTCAATATATATCTTTCTTAAATAAATGGTAATTAAATACATCATATTTTTAGGTATTCTTTATTAATACTTTTTAATAATTTTTATATGATTTAAAACGTGTTATATATTTTTATAATAACAGTATTTGACTTATTTTGTTAGTAATGTTTTAATACTTAAAATTATATACGATAATCTTTCATTTCATTAGTTTCCTTTAGTAATGCTCAGAATAAGTATATATTAATCTTTAAGTACTGTAATATTTTGTGTGATATGAACTGCGTACATGTGGTAAAGGTAAATTTTTATCATGTTTATTCTTTATTCGAAAGACTTACAAAATTCAATGAATAGTTATTAGTATTTGTCGACGATACAATGTTATTTTTATTTAAATTTAAAACCGGTATGACCAGGTGCGAATGCATTGTAGGGTTTCCGCCATAGTATTTTCGTAACGATGACATCTCGCGGTAAATAAATCGACATTTCAGGAGCGTAACATTTGTCTCTATTTTCCGTGAGACAATTAAATATATTAATATTACTAATTCTTAATATGTATGTGTATCAAATGCAAAATGCTCTTATAAAAACAGTTTATTAAATTTGATTTCTTATGTGAGAATTTTAATATTATCGAGGAAATGTAACGATTTGAAATAGAACTAACTCTTTCGAAATTTCAAAGTAAATTTTGACACTATATAAATATATACAATTGTAATAAGTTAAAAAAATATCCAAAATTGTTTTTCTTACAGTTGAACTAATATAAAATATGTACCTTTTTTCACCAATATATAATCGCTTCTTAAATTCAGAACAATTATAAACAAAATTTTTGTAAAACAAGTTTAAAGTTACACTTCTTTTCCAAAGGGTATTGAAAATTAAAAGTGGGGAGAAGTGATTATACAGAGGTTAACGTACACGTACTGAACCAGATATTTGTATATTTAAACTTATTATGTACAAGGGGGTTGTATTATAGTAAAACAACGATTTGCTATACGTATTTCCCTATAAGAACTCGTAACATTAGTACAATATATTTATCAATTACATGGCCACAGGGGCCACATTTAACAAAAACTTATTGTAATTACTCACTATTTTATCAAGAGAAAAGAGGCAGAGGATACAAGCATGTACATCCAATTCGAAAAAATTGATTCAAAATTTGAGTATTTTTTTTTATCCAGTTCCAAATATATTCAATTACAAAATACCATTTAAGAGCACTCATATTTGAAAAAATATAGAAGAAACGTATTATAAAATAATAAAGAACGATGGATATGAAACAAGATTAAAATTAATACGACGATGAATTATCGTTACTTCCGCGGAGACACTTTTATGTTATCATTGATATACAGTTTCTGCAACAGTCGCGAAATATTTCAGTTTTTAGTGGTTCGATGAAAAAATCATGAATTACATTTACTCGAGAATCATTTCAAACGTGAACGACGTTCATTTGACGTGAGTTTCAACGAGTGATAATAATAAATTAGTATTCGCCTGCGTCTTGGCAGACGCTCGGCGAATAGATTATCTTTGTTACCAGCTAAATAGCGAGCGTTCAGGAATATTTAGAGCGTACAACAGTGTGTCTTGAATGACCAGACTCCGATCTATTTGTCAACTTGTAGCACAGACAGCAACAAATTATATCGTTCTTATGTATTTTACGAAATAGAGATACATGTCTTAAGAAAGACATTGAACAAAGGTATAATATTTAACACGTTCAGTGTTAGTAAGTAAAGTTGTAAAAGTTACATTACAATATTTCATTCAAAGAATATTGTGATTATGCGTAACGGTTCATATTCCCACCAAATTTTTACTTATTCTCTTTTAATTCTAAAAAAGCAAAATATTTTTTATCAATAAAAATTCTTTCTTTCATTGATACATTTTTTCGCAAAATTCGTCAAACATCAATCAGTCACACGGCACAGAATGTGTCAATTAAATTATTTAAAGTCAGCTAACGATGCAATAAAAAAGAGGCGTATGATACTCTTTGTACAAGTTGCAATTTGCCAAATGAATAAATCCACCGAGTGGAACTAATGATTTTGTTATTACGTAAATATGCAAAAAATGTTCGTTCTTTTTGTCGACTAAAGAGTATCGTTTCGTGTGAACAATGTCGCTGTACTTCAAGTTTACGAGACACTGGTATACACGTGGGTGTAGTAATAATATAGTAGTAGTAGTAGTAGTAGTAGTAGTAGTAGTAGTAATAGTACAGTCTCAACATTTTCTACTTTCGCGGTATATGTAAAAACGAACAAATTATCGGCGTACGAATCACCTACGTGTACACATGTGCAACAGCATTTTCTTTTTCGATGTTAAACAAACAGCAAACAAATCTCGAAATAACTGTTTATCCGCAGTGGGCATCTTCGAGATTTCACGTTTTTTTTTTTTTTTTTTTCGATCTCACGAAGATGTTCCACATTCTCGTGTCTCTTTAGTTATGTTCCTGACCGTGAAGATTTCTCCGAGGAACTTTACAAAAAATATTAAACGTTTCTCTACAACGCGAAACACCATTCTTAATACATAGTCGTACTTCGCCTCGCGAGAACTAATTCCTTTTGCCTTCCTCTAATTGATCGCGATGTAACAAGTTTCGGTTCAAGCTTTTTACAGTCTGCCGCCGCATCGTTAATTATTTTACGATTCGAAAAAGAATTTCGGGAACATTGGCTGAGATCTGGCGTGACACGTAAGTTAAGAGTGAAATTACCTAAACGTCTTCTTCGTGACGTTCACGACAATACAAAGATCGTACATGAAGAAACCACTCTCTACACTCCGAAATTTCGTTTTTCGAAGGACGTTCTCCTACAATTGTTCAGTCTCTCGAAGAAATTTGTTTACCGAAAATACATACATTTATGTATATTTGTATAATTAATATAACATACGCTGCTCAAAAAGTGCTTTTGTTGCTGATTACACACAGAGAACAAAGCGATTACGTGACACCTTTCCTATAATTACTACTGCGGAGTCGTTGACTTAAAATTAACAAAGCATCGCTACAACTCCTATCTCCTCTTTAGTTTTATATATCTCGAATCTCTAAATGTATAAAAAAAAATTTTTTTTTTTTTTAGGGGGTATTAATTAACTTGAATAGTCAGTTATACATAGTTCAAGTACATTTACATATACAGCTTTATCACATATTATTTGAAAATTCGTGGTATCTGCATGATAATCGTAATAATTCCGATATGGATTACGTTATGTTAATGTTCATTATTCAGGTATGTCTGTATAACACTCTTTAACGATGTTATCCTCATTCTCGACAGTAATTTAGCAAGTTCTTTGACAATTTTTCTCTCTATAACGTTACTTTCATAAGGTATACTTTATTGATGAATCATGGAAAGATTACAGTTTTTCATATAAATAATATCGAAGTAAATTAAAATAAAGAAAAAGAAAGGAAAATGAAAGAACGTAAGTTGACAATGGCAAGGAATATTATAAAGTAAAATCAAAGTGCTAATGTAATACGCTGAACACGGATGATTACAACAGTATTGAATGACATACATATAATACAGATTTTTTTTCTATTACGCTGATTGTTCCGATTGTGATGAAAATAAAGGTGATTTAGTCGAGAATATTGAAACAACGTAGCCGAGTGCGATAGTATCGATAAATAAATTCGCAATTGAACATCCAACTTTTCGTACCTTTCTATAGGAGGATACACTCTATTACTTTGAACAAATCAGCACACCGAATGTAGCATGAACGAAAAGATATTGGAGATAATTTTAACGTTCACTTTACACACCTGTACATTGGTAACAACGGTTTTATTAACGTTCTTATCGATAATGATATTAATGATTCCATTATATTTGTATTATTCTAGCGCAATTCATTGTTAAAACTTAATGGACGAGATCGTTCTTTCAGTTTCGTTTCAGATAAATTAAATAAACTCTTTTCAAGTCAAACACAAGTTCGTATAAATCTGAAATAATTGGTAAATCAAATGTACGTTGCTCGTTATAAATTAAAACGAATTTTACACAGTCATCGCCCCTTAAGTATTAACATAAACAAAAAGGAATACAGCATTTTCTATTTATATGTAGCCTAAACATGTCACAATCACATTTTCTAATGCTTTCTAAACACGCTATCCAGTAGTGCTTGCGTATATACTTCGATTTCTCTTGTGTATTTGTATGTATGCTTTTGCTTCTTTTTTTTTTTCTTTGTATATAATTAAAGCATTTTTTGTTCCAGTACCTTCGCGTTGTAATATGTGGAATAGAATCTACCAAACTCATCCGAAGGAAAAAATATAAAATTCGTCGAATTTTATTTTTCTCCGTTTGTTCCAACTTTCTCTCATTACAAGTATCGAATAAATACTATGCAAGAGTCTACACTCCATAGTTCACAAACAAGATATATAGAAGAAATAGAAATTATTCTTAAAATATTCAGAATTTCAGATAGCACAATACACTTAAAAGTATTTTAGTTAATGTCGATAAGATTTGTTTTCCACAACAAAGATCATGACTTTTATACATGTATATGTATATACAAAGTGTGTAAATATTTAATTACTAGTGAGAAAGATTAATGATAATTTATGAAAGAATTATACCTTTTAAAGTATTGTTATAGTACTACAACCAAACAAAGAAAGAACAAAGAGTGGCCGAGTGGTCGTTATCTGCCAGCTTTGATGTGTGTGTGTGTTTGATATAATAATTGTCACATAGAATTGGTAAAAAGTATTGCTATGCAATCATGAATAAGACATTGAAATTATAGATATGGACCTAGATGGTAAAAAGAATACGATTGATGAAATACAAGAGAGTTAGTTATAGAGGTTGGCGAGGTGTTGCTAGCTGGCGATATCGACGAGGTTGTTGGATATTGCCCTTCGGATCATCTTTGGATCGGTGAGTTAGAATGTTTCCATCAAGGGAAGCCTATATTGGCATTGATAATATGATGATTACGAATGAACATGTCTGTAAAGGTCATCCGAGCGAGCTAAAAGTAGGAAGAGATATCATTTGACTGTAGGTAACACGATACATAAGTCTAATGATTCAGACATAATAGCCTTATGGTAACTCGTTGCCAAAATTTGCACCGATTCAAGACGGGAGAGATTGTCTGCATGGTCGATCCAATCAGAAAATACGCCCAATATATGTTGATTGTTAAAGCCAAGACGTAAATAAATTCTCGCGAAAGAACTTCGTTGAAATTATGTAAATGCATCCTGTAATATTTACCAACGAGTGTATGGCACTTATAAAGAAATCTCTTGAAAAGGTGTACCTGGTTTTTTTTTCGGGCAGACCTCTGAAAATCGGGTCAATTGATCGGTTCAACTCTGTCCTGATATCCCAGTGATACATTCTGTCACGGTGATGAACATGAGATTCGAGATCGTCCCTCAGAATTTAATTTCGATGGTTGCTGATCTCATGTACAACTCCTTGCAAAACGAGTAACAATTATCATTTGCTTGAAGCACCAATCTGATCGGGGGGAACAAAAACAATCGGGTAAAATCATAGCAGCCCGGTACCAAGATTTCATCTTGACATAGATAAACGAAATCATACAATAAAGATAAGATAACCTAGCAAGTCGGCCAGCGACGTGAAAGCTAAGCACCCAATCTATTGATACAGGGCTCAATCGAGAGAAGCTGGCAAACTTAGCACACATTAAGATGTCAAAGTACAACTACATCTTACTGGAAGTTACATGTTCGTTAACTAAACAAGGAAAGTTATTCCGAGAAAACGCTCAGTGATAAAAAAAAAAAAAAGAAAAAAAAACAATACTATGAAATTTCACGAAAACAATGTATCGTTCATTGCCACCAATGGAATATAGCTGGTACAACGAAAGATTAATCCGACTCTTTGGACGAGGCCTTCTGCATTATTCGAATTAAGCGTGACGTTAGGTCATTTGGTTTATTCCGATGAAAGTTCGTTCTGGCACTCACATCTTTGATCCTCACAAGTTCCTACATATTTCCCGTCAAATTGTATATACGCATCCTTTCGTAACACATTCGAAACAGTAACAATACCAATACGCAATAATACCGTGCTTGCGAATGACACATGATACAATACAATTTCACAGTCATTTACATTTCATTTTGTTCACTGGTAAATGATACATCGACAGTGCCCGGTGTTTTATGTTATCAAGACCACGCTATTAACACTTGCCGTGCGGGGTGTATACACTCCTTGTAGAACCCTCTGTTCAGGTCGTATGATATTTTTGTGTTTTCACTTCAACTGTGTTGAAACAACGATGATTAATTACGAACCAAAAATTTTCTTTCAACAGTGCATTTTAAACGTTACACCTTTGTTTTAGTAACAGTGACTTGGTAATTTCACGAACATATTTTTTTTGATGCAAAATAATATATTGTAAAAAAAATTTTTAATATTATCAGCACACATTCCACATGACCTGAACGGAAAGTTACTGAAAATTAGTCCACCAAGGAACGTATTTTATAATAATAATAATAATAAGAATAATAGTGATATAACAATAATAACAGAATAATCATAATAATTACGATAAAATAATACAAACAGTAATATATACAGCATACGTAATACGTTGTCGTTGTAAAGTTATATTAATTACAATAGTAAAAGTAAAGATAGACGTGGTCCTTTATGTTTAATTCGAATGATTCCACACTACGCAAGATCTTCGGAAACAAACACGGAACTATATTTTATCTGAACACCTTATTTCTTTGGGACGTACTAAGACCGAAGGCTGAATTAGACGGCATTCTCACACGTTATTGGAACGGTTCACTTACGCTACTATAACATAACAATACCATCATTCGCTATTCGCACCTTTTGTTCATCTATTCGTTAAGCCCTGATTCGATAAAACGGAAAATCAAATTTTGCACTTTATGTCTATTGCGTTTTAGTGCTTCTTAAGAGAAACGCAAAATTTGCATCTTACAGTGTAATTGAATTTTCTCACACACAACAGTGACGTGTTGAAGAGCATACTAGCGTGCAGTAATTTTAATAATTTCTACCTATTCAACGTTTATATAGTCAGATTTTTTTTTTCTTTTATAACGATGATCACTTATTTAATGCTTTCCCGTAAATATTGATGAATACATGTACCGAATTAGAGTATCATGCACAAAATGTTGTTTATAGTGTAGATCAGACAAACAGAAACATTACAATTCGCTGCTGTTTGCAAATGTACAGATGTATATATATATATTAAAGTGCGTTTCATACAACGACGCTGAGAACCTTTTATTTGCTTGAATGCGGATAACCATTTATATTACTATTCCCCTCACTTTGAACTCACGGAATACGTGTACACAGCGTTTTTTATTGTCAATCCAATAATCTTCCATTATATTTTGCTTTTATACATGCTAATTTAACATTAGCGATAGAGTACAATCAGCTACGAGTATATAAGTGTCGTTATTTTAGAATTCGATATTGCAAGGCAATGGTTAATTTTTTTTTTCTTTCCTTTTTCTTTTTTACAAAATCGATCGATCTCTCTGTGATAAATCAGAGTGACGAAAAGGGCGCGCGATTCAATGTAATTTTTGTTATATTTAAATAATGTTCAATGTGTCCATAGTTTGGTTGTAAGAATACAGTTAAGTAGTTGAATGTACTTTGTGTCGAATGAAAACCAAAAAGACCACATCGAAAATTGATTATGTATGCAGTCAAATGCTTCTTGATTTTGCGTAATCAATATGTTTCTACGAATTCTTGGATACCTGTATGTTTGACTGACTTCTGTATTTTGTTTTCCTAAATATTTTCTGTTCTCGTTTCGCAGCAATTATGATATGCTAAATAGTATTAAAAATAAGCATTACATATAATTGCAATTTGTACGCGGTTATCTTTCGTAGCCTTCATTAGCACGGATCCCGAAATCTCATAGTCACTTTACGATCGTACGGAATTAATATATCATATACGATTTAGTTCTGATTTCGTTATCAAGATTCGTAAAGTCGTTGTATCCGAAAATATATATGTATTAAATCAACCAAATGAATAGAAAAGAAAGTGCTTTACTGACCAAGCCTATAATTTTCCGGATTTTTCTTGCTTACTCAGTTCAAGAGCTAAAGCTAATTCCGCTTCTTCTTGCTGTTTGCGTCTACGCCTTTCCTCTTCGGTCTTTAAACTTTGTTCGGATGCCCAAACAAACTGTTGTTTTTCGGTTAACATCATAGGTGTGTTATTGCCGTTCCAAATCTTACCCATCTCGCTTTTCGATTTTTTATCGTTAAAGCTAGATTTAAATCTATTATGTGCTACATCTTGTCCGTGCTTTTTAGTAGACTTTTCATTCTTAGTGGAAAATGCTTCATCTATGTCAATCGTTTTCATCTTGGTGTTGGAAAACGCATCGGACTCGATGGTTTTTATATTTTTGTTGTCGTCGGAGAACGCTTTCACGAAATCAGTATCAAATTTAGAATTGTCCTTATCAACCTTGATCTTAGTCAGAGTACAAGTATTCGAGAAATCAGTGTCGAAGCTTTTTGTGAACGAATTTTTACGAGGAATTACTGAAGTTGTTCCGTAACTGAATGGATCCATTTTGCCTGCTATTGTTTCACTCTTATTCGCGTTAAGGTCTTCTACATCGTCAGCGAAAGGATCCGGTCTGTTAAAGGGATCTTCGTATCGATAATCTCTGAAGGGATCTTCCGTGAAATCCAGCAGCTTTGGAGTTACCGTTGATACTGTATGTGTTCTGCTCGTTGGTCTGGGTGGTGCCGTTCGATTCAGTGTTGGTTCAGGCTGAAGCAGGTTTTTTTCAGTGGTCAATTTTCGTTTACTGAAAAGGTAGAAAGAATAACGCGAAAACCGCTGGTTATCGTCAGGCTGCTGGACCATACGTGGCTGCTGTCGAATACTAAAAGACATTCAGTTGCAAGCGCATTAAAATATTCGAGTTCATTCACATGAGTCTTGTTATAATATTAAAAACCACAATATACAGTGCTCTAATATACAGTTTATTAGAAAAGTCTCTTTATAGTGTAGTTATATGTTGATAAGTTATGTTTACAAAAATTTGCAATTCATATTTGCGATTCACATAATAAATGAAACGAAAAAATACATTACTTAAATATTAACACAATTGAATGCTCCTCAAACAGTTCATAATTGGAACAGCGTCCAAACATTGATAATTCATAAATAGATAGACAAATTAGTGAAGATTTTTTCTAATATTCTGTAGTGTTCAATTAATTGAATCAACTCGAACATTTCGTTTGAATATGAATAATTAAATAATCAAAAATTGCCATGCAATATCATAAAATGAAAAGATAATACTGGAACAAAGAGAATAAATTAATCGATTTGTAGACAGCATGCTCCAGGAGCCAGGTCAATGAATAAACTGAAAATTGTGCAGCGTCTACCTAAATATAAAACAAAAAATATAATTAATCCTTTTTTTAAATATAAATATATGTTACAAAATAATATTGCGATATATTGGAATGACACATATTGACATTAAGCATCTTTGCTTCTTAGAAATATGGTTAATAAGCATCTTATCATTAACATCAGTACTATTTTATGTAAAAGAATATCTAAATCATACCAATATATTTCATTTTCCATTCAAAATATCTATATTTAAAATACATAATAACATACTAGAAATTCACAAAACTGAGAAAGGAGGGATATGGTCAGGATGATATATGGGAACACTTAAACAGAAAGGAACAAAAATTGTTTATTGCGATTAAAAGTGCTAAAAGGATGATTGTTCTACTAACTAATAGAACAAAAGCATAATTCTCAACAACGTAATAAGTAATTTGAAAACAATAAGATACATACCTTGGAATCAAAATTTGCAAAATCTGCAAATCCAGTAGACGTATTAAAATTAGTGCTGTTATTATTATCGATAATTCCTTGTTGAGCAGAAAAGGGATCAGAATTAGCATTTGCAAAACGATCAGGAGTATGAGAAGGAGTAGCTGGTGCTGGTGCTGCTCGTAGAGGACCAGTAGGTCCTTGAGTCGGTCGTGGAGGTGCTGGCCGTGGTGGTGGCTGTTTTGCTTTTTTAGGAGGAAGAGCAGGACTAGGACTTTCTGGACGAGGTGGTGCATGAAGATTTGCAAATGGGTCATCACCAAATGGATCTTTTGTCGCCTAAAAGAAAGAAAAAAAATCAACTCTAATAATTGTTATAACTTTTATAAGATTTAATCATTGTTAGTTTGACAACTTACTGCTACTGTAGTAGTAGTTTTAGTATCAGTTCTTTTTCCATCCCCAAATGGATCAAATGGATCCTGCTTTATAACACTGTTATCATCAAATGCACTAAATGGATCAGATGTGAATCCTCCCTGTAATCATAATTACAAATACATTATTAATTTATATATTATGTAATTAAAATAGATGATTACTTAAATTGAAAAAAGCTTACAGTGGGGTTTTGAGATGGAAATGCATTTCCGAATGGATCTGGTGTTGATGCACCAAATGCTTCTTGAGCTTTACTAGATGCAAAAGGATCTTGTTCAAACCCATCTAATGCAGTTCCATTTGCATTTGAAAAGGAATCTGTTTTCTTTTCACTAGCTTCTTCTTCGTTATTTGTTTTTTCATACCTATGTTAATTTTAATATAAGAATGTAATATAAAATAATAATATTATTTGCAAACTAGTATCAGGTACAAGAGTGGCATCCCCTGCTGCAAGTGCAGAGTCATACAATGCAACTGCATCACTCATTTGTCTTTGTTGTTCTTGCAGATGAGTGATTTTTGCTTTTGCTTGGCAAATTTGCAACTGAGTGTCCTGTAAATTTCTAGTAAGTTCATTTAATTGGTCCCTGCTTTTATTTTGTTGCTGTTCTAACTGCTGTTCTTCTTGTCGCAAGCCTTCCAATTCTTGCCGTTTAAGATTAAGTTCCTCTTCTTGAGCACGCAACACTGATTCCTGCTCTTCAGCTTGTTGCCGAAATTTATCAACCTATTATTAATAGTAATGCAAAATTACTTATAATGACTTATTCAATATCATTTATATTTAAACTTTTCATAGCTTAGCCTAAGGGAGACTCGGATAAAGTGTTAAGTACGTTACTGTTTATTTTAGATCTTAAGCAGAAACGGAAAAAGCTAAAGAAGATCTTTCATTAATATATTATTACATATAATAATTTATTATATATACTATCTTCTTTAGCTCTCTTCATTTCTGTCTAAGGTCTAAAATAAACAGTAACGTATTTAACGCTCTGTCCAAGTCTCTTTCCAGCTAAACTGTGAAAGAGTTAAATATAGGAATATTTCTATAATGTGTTACTTATATACTGCTTATGTATTTATGTATATCATTCAATGAAATTTATTTTCACTCATAAACGCATTTATCACATATTGTTAATAACAAATAATATTATATCAACATTGACAACTTCAGTACATGTGATCATTAGCATATCACTTTTTACATAAAATATAAAGAAATGTCATACATAGTTATAAAAGTTTAAGACTCAAATCTAATTTAAACAATTATACTTTTATTAACTTTAAGCATGATTGAATGTATTACATATATTTGATTTGACATCATTAAATTATACAACACATGTACCAGATTAGAGCCTTAAATAAAAAGTTGCAAGCAAATATACTTTTCTGATAGCAATCTATGCTACAACTATTTTACCATGCAATGCAACAAAGCACTAGCATTACCTATGCAAATGTAATGAAAACAAATGAAGCCTTTTCTAATGTAATGTGTAATGTATAAATATCAATTATGTACTTAAAAATTTATATTTTATACATATTCTCATACTAATTAGCTTAAATTTTGTATAATTTTTACAATAATTATAGAATAAAATAGAATGAAACTGTGAGATGATTTAATTTTTATATTTTATATCTTCATCTCTATCTTATAAAAAACTATCTTGATTTTCTTACTTTTTCTTTGTTATAATTGCTGTATTATAGAAATGAGAAGTAAAATCTGTATACCACAGTTGTACCTGCCCTTTAATAAAAGTAGAAATTATTGATGTACCTTTTTTTGTTCCTCACGAATCTTCTGCTCGACCTCATTCAAATCTTTATCTACTTCTGCCTTCTACAAGCCAAACATAATAAAACTAAATCATAATGAAAGATCGAAACA